AAGAAATCTGTAATAATATTCTCTAAGTATTTTCCTAATGTCATTACTTAGGACAGCTCTCAATCATAAAAATTTGAAAATAAATCATTATTTCTATATATGTCATGCAGACTTTAAGCTGTGTATGACCACAAAGTCAATAGCAAAAAAATATTGAAGCAATGAGCTCTTTCTGATATCACATAAGCACTATTGAGACAAAGACTGGAAATTTACAACAAATATATTTATCATCCATCATGGTAACAGTGACTTAAGTTTCCTTAGATGAGACAGCTATGAGCAGAGTGTTGTCACATCATGTGAGGTAGATCTCTGAGATCAGAAAAAAATTGAAGACTTCACGTGCGTTTGATTAGAATGTGTGAGATACCAAGTGTGTAAGTTGTACAAAATATATGGATGTGACTACAAGATTCAACATCTTTTGCAGGGTTAATAGCATGTTACAATGGCAGGCTTGAAGAAGACTTTTTCTAAGGTTATTCATTTTTCATTATTATCTTTCTCTTTAAAAAGTGAAAGGTAAATTAAATCATGTTCTCATAAAAAGTTTATATAAATATTTAAGATGCCACTGATTCTGCTTTTGGGGGCTTGGCATGATAAAAACAAAAGTTACTAATTTTCACTTTTGAGTGGAATCTAATTAAATAGTTTATCAAAATAAATAATAAAGGTAACAGCCATTACTCTGATATTAAATCTTCAGCATTTGTTCTGTTTTCATTGTTATACTGTATATGTTTGTATAATTTATTCATCCTTATAGAAAATATTTATGAAAATTCAGATTCATTTAACTTCCCCTATTTAAGGATCACAATATATTAAAACGAAAGAATTATTACATTAACTACCTCTTTCATATTTAGTTTTAGGAAATAGCCTAGTAATTATGACTAATTTTCACTGAAGATATGTTGCTATACAATTTTTGAAGTATGAATGTAAAAGTGTGCTTAGCTTTTCCATATATTTACTGTGAAATTAATAAGTATTACAAGAGTGATAAATAAGAATGACATGAAAATTTTACTGACCCAACTGGATTACTTGGATAACTGAACGAAGTAAGATATGTAAAATCATCAGCGCCAAATACCAGACGATAAAGTTGGAAAAAAAAAAAATTATATGTACTTATGGGTAAGACCACCTCAGAACCTTTTTCATTTCTTCCTCTGAAAATCACCCAGCCTCATCAATTTGCATTAATAAATGAAGTAAAAATGAAGACACACTACTCCTATTTGCATCAACAACCTGTGAAGCAGCAGAGAATCCAACTGTATTGAGAGAGAACTTTGAAGTGTAAAAATATTTCCAAAACAGAAATGTTGCAGTGTCATGTAAAAAGAATAATACATATTCATGGTTAATATTCTACAGGAGTAATTCCATCCTTAGCACTATTTTCACTACCTTTTAGCATTGGAAAGATCCCTGTCAGGCTGAAATTTCTCACACTTATCCCCAGTCCAAAGGCTTATTTTAAAGTAAAAGAAGAAAACTTAAGTAACTAATTAAATTTTTGCAATATGGAAAAAGTTCTCATTTCTAATCTACTAAAACTGTTGCTACTACTCAGAAAAATTTTCCTTCCCCCACTGACACGAACTTGGCTGCTGAACAAAGCTTTTCAGCATGAACTCTTGACTTTAGGTTAGTTTGTATACATACCAAGAGCACTTTAAGTTACATAGTATGTGGTCAGTAAGTGTTATACTGAAACAGATGCCAACGCCACTTCTAGTAACAGTTACCTGGCTGTTTTGCCTTGAAGTCAATTCAAGTGATACTTTCCGAGTGAGGGAAGAGAAAGGAAATATGGGGCTAAAGCAACTAACTGATTCAGAGTAAAGGAGAAATTTATCCTGTCCTTGTGGAGACACTGTATCTGAAACTGCCTTAAATGAAACGCTTAAGACAGACTACATGCAGGAGATGGTTGTGGGCAAAAGATGACAAATTTAAGACAGCACGATTGAGAGCTAAGGACACAGCTAAGCAGGCAAATGCATAAGTTATGTCATCCAAAATGTGCAGACTTCTCATAACTGATTTTAAGAGGATCATGCAAGAAGAAAATGAGTGTGGACATGACATTCAAAATAGATGCAAGATTTTAAGAAAATTAAATCATATAACTTTTTATTCTGCTCTTCATCTGGATTTTATATATTTGTAAATATATCATTTAAATATTATATCCACAATTGAATAATTAACTTTATAACATTTTTGTTTAAACAGTACAAATTTTTCTCAGGCAGTTAAGTTGCTTATCCTTACCTTCCACAAATGTGGAAAGTAAAAACTTCATTAGTTGCTAAAAGAAATAACAACTTTGTTGTATTCTTTCTCACAAGAAATTCAACAATGATGAGGGCCTTTGCTGAAGAGCACAACGTAGTTCTGGCCTTCAGGAACAAACCTAGAAGATGAGACTGTGAAATAAAATAAATGTGAATAACAGCTCCTCTGGAGGGGAGCTCCCCCCTGTCACCGTTGTCGTCGTCGTCGTCGTCCCCATCCCCCTTCCCCCCTCCCCCCCCCCCAAAAAAAAAAAAGTTGCTTATACTATTAGTCTGATAGTTCCAGATGCAATCACCACCTGAAACAAAAAAAGCTTTGTGGAACCCTGGCATGAGAGACAAACTCTTGATAAGCTGGTACTGGCATCTTTTCTCTAGAGTTTATTCCAAAGTGCATAGAACAGTTATTAAGAGCCAGTACATTCTATTTTTATTCATATTCCACTGCATGTAAATTCACATATACCTATACCAAAGTAAATTTGTAGACTGCATTTTTGCATCAGTGATGATAAGAACCTTTAGATTTATAAAGCACAAGACTTCACCTAGATACTAATGTGACAGAACAGTAATGAGCTCTGTTGATCTAGAGGAAATTGAAAGAAAATAGGGCTTAAAACTAATAATGCTAAAAAAATCAACTAAAAGTTTAAAGAGGGTAAACGTAGTTTAACTATAAAGAAGAAATTCTTTGCTGTGATGGTGGAGAGCTGCTGAAATAATTTGCCCAGAGAAGTTTTGTCCTATCCCTGGAAGTGTTCAAGGCCAGGTTGGTTAGAGTTTTCAGGCAACCTGATCTTGTGTTCCCATCTATGGCAGAGGAGTTGGAAGTAGATTAAAGTCCCTTCTGATCCAAATCATTTGGTGATTCTATGATAATAAATCATCAAGAATGTTGTGATTATCCAGCATATGACCATGTCACTCAGTTAAGATATCTGGGAGGATTAATGGTTACTACAGTATATAACATGACAAAAAAAAAAAAAAAGTTGTTCAGTAAGAATGATGATACTTTTCCTCAAGCAATTTGCAGCTCTAAACAGTGCTAAACCCATATGCAGTTTTAGAGGGTCATTAAAAGGTGTGCTATTTCATGGAAACACACTTTTCAAATACCTATTACAAAAACAAGCAAACAAACAAACAAACCTCTCTAAATAAGTACTGAGATGAATTTTGAAGTTATTAAGGAGGAATGTAAGAGAATGGGTGTGAGTTCTACTCCTGCAAATGGAACATAATCCTGGTATTTGCAATGCGTGCCACATGCTTAACGCCTCTTGTAAATTCTGTCTCATGCTGTACAGGTTTGTGGCTAATCAAAAGCAAAAATTAACATTGAAAAATATCTGGAACTTTTGAGTATGTGCTATAGGCAAATGAATAGTCAATAGAAAAGGGGGAAATGTTATGAGGGCACCCTGGAATCTCTGAGACTACAGCTAAGGAATAAAGAAGGAATGCACTTAATATTCAACAGAAAGAATTACTGGTCATTATTTGTGCAGCTTTTTTATGTCTTCAAGATGCTAGAAACTCCATGTTAGTAACAAAGTAAAAACAAGCACCTCTGGTAGAATGTTAGGTGGCCTAACAGGCCTTTATCTTATATCTCCACAAATGATACTGTTTTCTGTAACATGTACAGCACAGCAATGACTGGGGTTGGCAGAGGAAATAAACGTAACAGACTTATACCTTCTTTTCCTTAGCCTGAGTTTTTCTAGTTACGTCAACATGCATCGGGTGCTTATTAGAAAGTTTTCTACTAACTAGTACTTACAGATGATGATGCAGAAGTGGTTAGCACAACATGATTTCTGGCCTTGCAAATATACCACAGAAAATTATGGCTTTCATTCACACTAAAAAATAAAAATAAAAAAAGCGTGCTGTTTCCAATGCACATGGAGTCCCCGGATATCAAAGACTCATTAAAATATGTTAAATTGCAGCCACAGAATGAGCTATTAGAATGCTATTTGTGCAAGCACAGCACCGGAAAATGAAGAACACTTCTTTAATGCATCATCACTGATTCTCATTTAGCAAACTCAGCATTTATGAAGCAAAAGAACTTCACATTACCAAATATCATCATAATCCTACCAGGTCTCCCTAAAGGGTAAAAACACACTCATGGTCACTTGCTTTCATTCCTTTTCTTTTAATGAACTTTTACTTAACTTTACTATCAAGAAATACAAAGCATTGAAAATATAGGAATTGATTTCCAGTTCTTTTCTCATAGAAAGGGTTCTTCCCAAACTAGACTTATTCAGGCAAGAGCCTCGCTAGATTGTCTGTTATTTTTTCCTAATTAGAACAAACTATTCGTTTCTTATTTACAATAAGTTATTTTTGCATAATGGAAGTCCTGCTGACCAACATTTCGAGTTGATAGAATGTCAAATTAATGTAAGGGCTTTAATAGTATTCCATTTTAAATTAAAATGCTTTATTTTTTTCACTCTATGAAAAATAAACAACTATACAGATTTCAAAGTGCACATATAGGAGGATATACACCTGCAGATCTCTTCATTTCCATTGACTCTCAAGACAAACATACTGAAGGCCCGTATAATCAGTGGATATTAAGATACTATAATCACAAAAAAGAAATAACAAGAGAGTTGGGCAAAGATAACAAGAGAGAATAAATGGAAGGCTTACCCTTATGCTAGGCTCACCCACAAAAAACACCAGAAAAGGGGATCTCCAGAAGAGATCCTTCCCCACTTGTAGCCAACTCTTAAATGGGTCTAGGAGGGGTGGAACCAGGCTCCACCCCTTCCAGCAGCACAGCTGAATTGCCTTCACCTGTGCTCCTCTGGCTGACTCATTGCTCGCCTCAGGAAATCAATCAGAGGTTCAGGCCGTGACTCAGCAGTTCCCACACAAGGCCACTACATTTTTTTAATTTTTTTTTAATATAAAATTAAAAATGCAACAAAAAAAAATTGAAGCTAACTTCAGCAGCTTCACCAAGTCGTGTTTAGGATGGCTTGATAAAAATGGAATAGAATCCAAGCTTTGACTGCTGTTGAATGTTCACATCAAAAGTACTTTCTTCAGCTGGGCTCTTTCAGTTTTACACATCATCATTGCACATCATCGAGGCAAATTAGGCTCTTGGTTAAGCTTGAAAGTGTGCAGTAACCTTTGCTAAGTTATTTAGAATTCAAAATAAATGGGCAACCTTGAGTAGCAGGTGAAGCAAAAGATAGGAAAATTGTTATGATATACCTGAATAATCCCACCTTGTGCGATATCATTAGATGGATTTGCATGTTTGCCATGCAAAGTCTGCAAATAAAAAGCAGCCACCTTCAGGCCAAGGCCTTAGAGTAAAAGCATTTTGGTTTCCCTCCTGTTTCTCTTTATAGAGGAAGGCTCCTGTTTGCCCAGTCCTCTAACTGTGTTACAGCCACAAGTGCCTCCTGGCTTCTGCCTTTCCCCCTAGGTATTATCTATCCATCCTATCTTCTTGCTAGATCTGTTCTCACAGTATCTCTGGATGTTGTTTTACCCAATAAATTCTTCTATTTACTTTCAGTGACTTCATCTTATAAATGCTGGTTTCTTATTTTAGTGAAAGATCACAGTGTAAGCTCCTTTCTTCACCAACACTTGAAAGCTCATTTTGGAATGTATTCACGTATGCAAGGACAAGTGTTGAACATAGTTAATGATAGGAAGAACATCAAATACCATCCATTAAAAATAAAAGCCCCTAAAGTAGTGACATAGATGAACAGCATCTGAATGAACAGCATCTGAAATGAACAACATTTTTATTTGTTCATCTTACTCCCCAAAATGCATTTAAGGAAATTAGCATCTATTAAAATATAAAGCTGGCAATATTAGTCTGCTTACTGGCTAATTAAGGTATTTTTATGATAAGACATACATTGTAATTTTTAACTATTCAGAATGATCTAAAATTCTTTATCTTCCTGAAAAACTACATTAACAAAGTGGTGGATTTAAAACCAGAAATATTTGCAGATTATATAAAAAAATGATTTGCAGAAAATGAGTTAGTTCATCAGAGTTCAGCCACTTTAGCATAAGAGATGCAACCCTAGTTCATTTGAAGTCTGTGATATTTAATTCTGCATTGGATCTTAAAAGTAGTCAATAAGGATAGAGTGGAAATTATTCATAGTTTACTTTTAAACCTTTTAGTATTCTTAAGATCTGCTTACTGTTATATAAAATCTGAAAGCCTGCAGATAGGGTTTTGTTCCATTTAAATGGACATCAGAACACCAAATAGAATGTGAAATGTGGAAAATTCAAGGCTGAGTATGAATACAACAGAGACTCTGCATAGAATAATCTGTATTTTTTGATTTTTTTTTACTGCTAAACATGATAGAAAAGACAAGAGCATCCCTATGGTTTTCAGTTAAAAAAAAAAATCAACAATTAAAAATTAAAGCTAACAACAGGGATATTGAGCTTAGACCCTTGCAAATATAAGAAATCATGCAATATAAGAAATCATTTACAGCACTTTAAAATCAGGAACAATCAGACAAGCCACAAAATATATCCATCTCGGTCTACAAGAGCTTCCTCATACAGTTACCTTCAGTTGTGGGGAAGAAATTAGAATAAACAGAGCTCTCGTATTTGACTTGAGTATTAATTCTCCCTTGTATGCTAGCAGAAACCGTCAGAGATTTGGGAGATTTGTCTATTGCATGCAAACCAAGAGGGTTGGGAGAGCAAAGATTCCTGGCACAGCTATGGCAACAGAGCAAAGATTAACTCAGTAAGAGGAAAAGGACATGGGAAATACAAGCTGGTGACACCCTACCACAGGCAAGTCTGACTCACGACCCAGCCCATACAACCTGCAGCCACCCCCTGCCCCACACCATCATGACAGTGGTTCATAGCACTGAGTGACCCAACCATCCAGCAGCAACAGCCAAACACTGGTGTGCTATTAGCACTGTCTGGACTGAAATCAGGATACGGGGTGGGCACAGCATGGTGCTAACTCAAGTGATAGTAAATAAGTGTATGCATGTTGATACATTGGCTAAACACAGTCTTGTGAACAGTGAAAAATACGCAGCTGTGCTTTCTGTTTTGATAAAGACATTTCAGACTAGGTTTCAAAAGTGCCGAAAAAATCATCAGTTTTTGGTTTATTTGCAACTCCATTTTCAGTCAATGTAAATACATTACCTTCATATTTTAAAAAGGAATGTGTGGAACTGTAATAAAAAATCTGACCACATCTCCCAGCTGGAGTTTTATCAGCCAAATTCTCTTTCCAAAAAGAAACACCTCACTTCACAGTCACACCTTATTCATATCATCGCTTTTTGACAGTATCTACATTGGCAAACAACTGTTCTCAAATATAAAGTACAGGAAGAGTAAAATTTCATCAAAAATCTCTCCTGAACACCTTCAGAGCTCACTAAGAACTGCAGCTACTGCCACTGAACCTGCCTGATGCATTAGTTTCACAAAAACTAACTCATATTCTACTGGTTTTATGTTTTTGTTGTTCTCTTTTTTAAAACTTTCAGTAAAAGTCATTACAAATTAAAATAAGTTTTCTTTACGTATATATATAAGAACTATATGATACCTATTTTATGAGGGCTGATTTACCCTAAGTAAAGCCTCCACATCAGTATTCCAATACATTTTGTTACTGTGTGGCACATAGCAGCAGAGGGACAGTCTGACAAAATGGCTTTTCTTCATTGGTGGCAAAAATGCATAGCAAATGGTAGTGACTGTGCCAAAAAGTAATGCTTTGCAGCTGAGAACTTGCTCTATCAAACACAATTGCTCTGCTCATTGTAACTGTTGCTTCCATGAAAAGAAATAGGAGGCATTACTTTCAGAGCAGCCTTTATACTTGTGGCCAGGAAAACCAAATGGTTGGACAGCAGTGCTAGCACTTAGCATTTCCAACCATGGTGCATAAATAAATTACAAAATACAAGCAACTCCTTAAAAAAAAGAAAATCCTGAGTTAACAACTGAATACTGATATACTTCATACATCAAGAAAAAGCTTTTTTCATGCTTTTCTCTCTGTAACAATACTTCTAAGCTCGGAAGGCATTTTCCCTGTAGAGACTTAGACATGAGTTGTCTCTGAATAATTCATTAATTTTGTTGTTGGTGGTTTTTGTTTTTGTTTTTTTTTTAATTATGCTTGTGAACATCTATTGCCCTGGAACACATAACGTTTATGTGACCATTAAAAGAAACAAACAAACACTGAAACTGAAGAAATGAGTGCCCCATATGCAGCTCTGCCAGAGCGCTGTGCCTGGTGGGGCCACCTGTGAGGCGGCTCTGCCCTGAGGAGATGGGCAGTACCTGCGAGGAGCCCGTGCACTCAGGTGACCCCGGCCGTGACCTTCAGGTGACCCCGCCCCGGTCGCCTTCAGCGAGAAAGGGCGCGAACGATGAGGCGGGAAGCAAAAGCGGCGGGAAGCGAAAACGGCGGGAAAAGCGAGCGGCGTTCCGGGCTCCTATTGGCTGGCGGGCGGCGGGAACACCTATATAAGACACTCGGGCGCAACAGGTGTGTGCCTCAGCGTGTGAGAAGAATCTGTGTGCTCCGAGAGGAAGGCGGCAAACGGCATCTATGGACCGAGCTGCGGCGGAGCTGGTAGGAGGCAGAGATGGGCGGGCTCAGACGGTGGGGATGCTTCGGAGGCCGGCGCCGAGCTCGCTCTGAGCCATGCTAGTCGGAGGAGCGGGGCCGGGCCGGAGACGGGGGCTGGAGCCAGGCCGAGCCGGGCGGAGCCAGGCGGGGCCGGGGGCCGAGCCGGGCGGAGCCGGGCGGGGCCGGGAGTCGAGCCGGGCGGAGCCGGGGGCCGGGGGCCGGGCCGGAGCCGGGCGGAGCCGGGGGCCGGAGCCGGGGGCCGAACTGCCTCGCGGTGCAAGATGCTACGTGACGACGGAAAGCAGCATTAATAAAGCAAATATATCTCGCTATTGTTGTAATAACTTATAGAAATAGTATCTCACTTAAAAAAAAAAAAAAAAAAAAAAAAAAAAAAAAAGGTGATAGGAATTTTGGGAGGGCAAATGGAGTAAGGCATTATCATCAAAAGGATGAAACGCAACAGTAGTGTACTAGTGTTTAAGAAGGTCTGTAGGTAGAAGAAGATGTATACTAAGAATGGGGGGGATGCATATGGAAAATATAAGCCTTCAGTATGAAATTATGTTTGTTGCTATAAAACAATCCACAACCACTGATGTTAGAAGATGGCAAAAAAAAAAAAAAAAAAAAAAGCCTAAAGGTCAAATGACCAAGAAAAGGAAAGGAGTGATGAGAAAGAGAAGAGAGAGAAACTGCACAAAGACAACAGTATGTCACCATAAGCACAATAAAGTTACAGGAGATCTGAGAAGATATGATGGTTCACAAGAGTGACTGCTAGGAGACATAGCTGTAATGAGTGCTAAAGCAACGTTTGGCGTCCCTGTAAGCAGGGAAGGTGACCCTTTGGTTGCTGCGTTTTGTGTGCCCAGCTCCATTTGCCCAGTCTGCCCGCCTCTGTGACCCTCCGCAGCACCGGCTGGAGCTCCGCAGCGCATCGCCATGGGTGAGAATAGCTGCTCTCAGTGGTTTTGGCTGGGAGGAATTGGATACGGGGGGGTGTAAGGGCTTCTGGGGCTGGGTGGTCGTGTGCCGAGCTCCCTCTGGATGTTGGGCTTCCTGTGTCTTTTGGGTGGTGGGGTTGTTGCTCCTCAGGTCTAATGGGGGCCCTTCATTTTTCAGGAGCTGCTGCAGAAGAAAGAAGAAGCAGCGAGTGGGACTCCGGGAGGCAACAGCGAATGATACTCCGGGAGGCAACAGCGAGCAAGAGGAGGAAGCAGAA